CCCGGGTTCGATCCTCGGTAGCTCTGCTTTATTATTCAACACAGGGAAGGAATTCGCACATAGAAAATGATATTCGGGGAAGGTGATAAGAGAAGATTCATTAGTGATGGTTACGAAGTAATCAAGTTTAGTTACAAGACCAGAGTCATCGGTGCGGAAACAACCACACAAAAAAAATCGAGAGTGCGGTAACTTGTGTCGTCGGCGAGCGAAGTAGACCGTTACAGTACTGGGGCCCATTTCACAAGCGTCCTTAGATTAGGACGTCTTTACGTATAGGATTTTAACCTTAGGACGTCCTTACCTAACTAAGGCTATTTCACTAGATTTTCCTTACCTAACGTTAGGATCCTATACTTAAAGACGTCCTTACCTAACGTAAGGATGTGCTATCTGAGGATATTAGGAATCCTTACGGCAATTAAACACAACGTAAAATGTTATATAACCGGGATTCGAACCAGGATGTCCCAAACACCAAACACAAACTTTACCACTCCACCATTTTATACTTACTTCTAACGAAATACGGATCGGTTCATCGAAGCATGGGCCACAAAGGTAGTGCCTCGAGGCGCCATTCAGCAGATTTAACAGATATAACCACTTTTATTAACAACTGGTACGCGTAATGGATCTTGACGAAGCGGAACTAGGAGATACGAAAGAGGGCACTCATGGCTCAACAGGAAGCTTGGGTAGCTTGGCAGCAAGCTGGTAGAGCGTGGGCGAAGTTTCAGTTTCTGCTAAGAGGGCCTTTTCTGCTATGGAGGAGTCCTGCAGTAACAAAACGCCTGACTCTAGCCAAGATGAGTATTTGTAAGTAGTTTCATATGAAGTTTCAAATGAGTATCGAAATTATTGTCGAGTTTTGTTAATAGTTGTAAGATTTTTGTTTAAGTTACAAATTAATTTAAAAATGTACATGCAGAGTTTCGAACCAACGACTGTTTGGCGGAGCGCAGCGAGTCGTCTTGCACACTTTTAACCTTAGGATTGCCGGTAAAGTACCCCCCCGAGGTACTTTACCGTGAGGATGAAAATTTCCTTAAAAATATAGCTTGTGAAAGCCGGGGCGTCCTAAAGGCCAATTTTTAAGGAAAAAGGCATCCTAATGTCCTCAATCCTAACGGTAAGGATCCTAATATCCTAATGTCCTAACCCAACCTAAGGAAAGGGCCCTTGTGAACGCCATTCATCCTTAAATTGCATCCTAATGGGTTAGAATCCTAACATTAGGACGCTTGTGAAATGGTCCCCTGCACATATACGATTGCGAGAAACATCTAGGGGGCTTTTCGTAGCCTGTACTCCAGGCCAGTTGTGAGTTGCTCGTGGTATATGTATACTTTCCCTTCGCAGTTGCGACGCGGGCTCGTTTATCTTCTCCCCGCCCTCCCTCTCCCGGGTTGAATCACTCGGCTGAGACAGCTCGTTGGCCGACCTCCGGAGATCGACCTCGAGCGAGCCTCAACCCTGTGATTTGGCGGCCCGACGTGCGGGTTTCTGGTTCGAGTTTAGTCTTTCGACCGAATCCCGCATTCAGGGTCCGCTGTCCTGTTTACCATACCACCCGGTGTGAGTGGGTTGTTGCCCGTTGGTAACATTTGCGGTGGGTTTCAATGAGACACCAAGCGAACCAGTTCTGCCCGCAAGCGTCGACAGACGCCATGGGCACCAGACGAGTCGGGCTAACTAATTATTTATTAATACTTCTATTTTAGCTCGACATAATCGTGCGTGAAATAGTCACATTCTCGTATTTCTTCTACAGTTCTCACTAATACGATCGATCCCACTCCAGTAGAATCACCTCCACGTATGCAGTGGAGTCGGTTGAATCACCTCCCGCCCTGAATTTCTTATCAAGTCATTTTACTCTGTCTACATTTCGAACCTATCTAGCAATGTCATCCAAATCCTGCACTGTTGTGGACTAACACGTTGCAATGCAGATGTTCTCTTGAAGGACTAGGGAAACGCAAGATTTAGATGAGCTGCTGACGATAGGCTATATACAGCTCGAATAACTGTTGTACAATGTCTGCTAAGGTGTCAGCTATACATAGCAGAGCAAGAGAGCAAGATATCAAGCCAACTATGAATACTTATCAACAAACATCACTCTCTGTGCGTCTGTGTGCTACTTTCGCACGCAGACCCAAGTTCTGGTATAAATCCTCTACACATCTTACGTTGTGTTGAACACTCTCTATAGAGTCAGTCGTATCCTCTCAACAGTTTGGGTGTACGGGCGAAATCTGTTCGTTTTTCACACAGACGCTATCTATTGGTTGTTAAGTTTATGACTTCCGCATTTTCAGTGGAGTTTCACCCGTGATATGAAAACAACATAGCACTTTTTCAACTCCTGTTTTTGCAGAATTATAACTTCAATTTGCAGAAGTGGTCGAAAGATATGGTCAAAGATTCTCGTTTAGTAACTTCAATTTCGAAATTTAAATTTAGGAACTTTGATTTGTGCATTTGTTGTCCTGCGCAAGGTGAATCAGGAGTGCTTTTTTTGGAAACAGAATTATACACGTTTGACATTACGGTAGGTTATACGAGTCACAAGTGAAACGTTGACCATCAACAGCAGCCTTAACCAATCAAACAAATAAACATCGTGCATTCAGGAGTGCTCACGATAACAAGTGAGCAGCCTGGCACTACGAGGAATTTGTTAATGGCAGTTTTTAAGATGATGCAACTGTCAGTAACCCGTAACGGTTAACCCGAAAAATCAGCCTCATGAGCAAGGCATATTGAGTAAGAGTATCACTCAGCCAAAAAATCAACTTTAGATTCTCGAGTCAGCTCAGAGATCCACATATCCTCGCGATGATCCTGATTTCTCGCTCCAGAGTAAAAAATCAGTGAATCAGGTTTTATTACTCACCACCTGATTTTTCCATCTGAGTAAATACTCTGACTCAGCTGTTGCATCAGGGTCCGCTCTCTGAAGATATCTGTGGTCGTTCAAGAAACCGATTTCGGAATCGTTTACTACCCGTATAATAGAATGCTAAAATCGGTTCTGAATTCCAGAATTAATACAATGAACGTGGGGTCTATCTCTTTATTGTTTTGATTAGTGATAGTATCAATCTGTAATCATTTCAGCATTCATTAGCCTTATCCCTAACTGACGCTTCAACCCTCTTCCCTACATATTGAGTTCAACGGCTGTGATCACAGTATAGCACAGAGCATGATCGATATTCACGTGAGTACGTAGTTGTTTTTGTAAGAATAAGGATTGTGGTTTCATTGAGTTATAACAGCAGAGTTATTAGTTTGTCATCAATAGACGTTATTTCAGTGGAGTTTCACAACCCGTTTTACGTGAAGTGGTGAAAAACGCGATATTATTCGCGGTGATATGCAGTAGTCGTGAAATACGTTTTTCATATCACTGTCGTGAAACTCCATTGTTTCCATGCACTCGCTAGTCTTCGTCATTTTCTAATGGACGTTAAGTTCACTACTCGAGAGCTGGGTCCATGATGAGTATTGATAACTGAGAATGTATATTTGGGTGAATCTAGGACGAGCTCGGGCAATAGGTGGATGCTTTCCCCGAGTTTGACCCGATTGTCATTGGAGTTTCACAACCCGTTTTACGTGAAGTGGCGTTAAACGCGATATTATTCGCGGTGATATGCAGTAGTCGTGAAATATATTTTTCATATCACTAGGGTGAAACTCCATTGAATGGAATCTGGAGTTTAGCATTGACGGAGTATCGTGTTATACGTGTGAGAAGCGTTTTTGGAAATGATTTTGAGCTCTGAATTCGCTCCTGAGAAAGTTGAAATTATGGTAGAAACAGCCGTTGAAGCTGTACCAATGTGGATAGTGAAAACTGCTGCTCGAATTCACTTGATCGCGTTACTCTTCGTGCAGTGCAGTGTTGGAGTAGGAATATATGCTCGCTTTCCTCACCTGAGCTCAGGAGTTTCCTGTACAGTGTTGGAGTAGGAATATATGTAATCGCTTTCCTCAGCTACTGAGCTCAGGAGTTTCCTATACAGTGTTGGAGTAGGAATATATGTAATCGCTTTCCTCAGCTGCTGAGCTCAGGAGTTTCCTATACAGTGTTGGAGTAGGAATATATGTAATCGCTTTCCTCAGCTGAGCTCAGGAGTTTCCTGTACAGTGTTGGAGTAGGAATATATGTAATCGCTTTCCTCAGCTACTGAGCTCAGGAGTTTCCTATACAGTGTTGGAGTAGGAATATATGTAATCGCTTTCCTCAGCTACTGAGCTCAGGAGTTTCCTATACAGTGTTGGAGTAGGAATATATGTTCGCTTTCCTCAGCTGCTGAGCTCAGGGGTTTCCAAAGCTAATTATAGATGTTTGTATACGAATCTGGGAAGGAACTCTCTCAAAATTCCCTCCCAGAATTTTCATATTGTCATCACCAACACATGTAGTTGACCATGTGCATATTTTCCCCCCACACTGATGTAGTGTTAACGGAGGCAGTAGTAAGCGGCATGTTCGACCTACTCAAAAATTGAAAATTTTTTTTCCAGTACGCGCATGCAAATTTCCACTTTTCGGAATTTTCATGTTTTTTTTCTGGGGGGTGTAATCTTTTTGCGATTCTTTCCTGGTAGTTGAAGACTTTTTTAGTAAATTTCTTGGAGAGTACTGTATGCAGTCAATATTGGAAGGTGAGTTTTCATCTCGTTTGAAAAGCGCGCGCCATTCTGATCGATTTGTATTAATGCCTCAGGTAAAAAGATCAAATCGGCAATATTCGTAGCATTAGGAGTTTTATTTATTCGGAGAATCTCTCGAAGTGAGATTTTCGGCGGAAAAGTTTGTCAGTGTTTTTGGAGGAATATATGTTCGCTTCCTTCAGTTGAGCTCAGCTGTTCGCTCACCCGTTATAGGAGTTTACATACGAATTCGGGTAGAAGTGTTCAGAAATTAACGAGAAATTTCCCAAAAAAATTCCTTGAAATTTTTATAAAGTTAATTTGCACGCATGCACAACAATTCAGTTCTGCGAGAGCGGTCGTTTCAAGGCTTGCTGACGAAATGGCTGTTGGTGATGCCCGTTCGTATGGTACTCCCAGCGATGATAATATACACTGCGGCTAAGTAAGCTGAGGGGTGTATGTGTAGTGGAGTTTCACACGTTTTACGTGAAATGGCGTAAAACTCCAGTCGTGAAAAACGCGATATGTAGTAGTCGTGAAATATACTTTCCACTAGTGTTTTTCATATCACGGTCCGTGAAACTCCAATAATATAGATAACGATGGAGTTTCACCCGTTTTACGTGATGTGGTAAAAAACGCGATATTCGCACTATGCAGTAGTCGTGGAATATATTTTTCACTAGTGTTTTTTCATATCACAGCCGCCCGTGAAACTCTGTTAATCTCTACAAATCAACTGAGGACACGTAGTTTCCAATTTCGTTTTATAATTATGTTTATAGTAATTTTTAGAGTAGTACTCACTTGCGCTGATATGAATTAGTTTGGATACGTTATTGAAGTAGTAGACAGACATGACACGTAGCTGTTGTTAGGGGTGAGAGACGATATGAAAATGCATTCGCGATGAATGATCTCTTACCAATTACTGGAACTTTCGCTGTAACTATATGAATAAACGTGATTTGAATCGTAAGAACTCTAGTAAGTAAGGGTAGAGCTAGCTTGTGAAGAGCTATATTAAAACTAAGAAGAAAACGTTAAAATTTTTTTTTGGATTTCAGATGGAAATTAAAATTGGAATCGGGCAGTGTACGAGGAATGTCGGATGCGATACGTGAGTGCTGTTGTTGTTGAGAAACGGGTGGAATAATATCAATGGGAACCTTTTCGCAAAAAAATTCGAAAAGATGGGAAAAAATTGGAAAAAATCGGGAAAAAATTGAAAAAATTGAAAAAAATGGAAAAATTAGAAAAAAATGGAAAGAAATTGAAAAATGGAAAAATAGAAAAATGGTAAAAGTACTCAAAAATGGAAATGAAATAAAATGAAAAAGGAGAAAATGGCAAGAAATTTCCTTATGTTTTTCGAGATTTATTCTAGCGTATGAGAAAGGATACTGCCTTTGTCATTCATGCTTATTTGACGTAATGTGAATCGAGGAAATTACGGTTCTGGTTTTTTCCCCGAGATCATGTGGTGCCGCAATTATTCACGTTAGTTACTCTACATTGAACGCTGCAGTGTTGGGGGAATATATATTCGTTTTCCTCAACTGAGCTTGGGAGTTTCTCTAGTGATTATAGAAGTATATTTACGAATTTGGGCGCTCACAGAATTTGCCTAATTTTTTCAGAATTTTCATATCGTCAGCGACAATTTCATTTTGGGGATTTTATGCAATTTTTTGAAGGAAAATTTCTCATTCATAAATTCGCGAAGAAATAATGTTGTTTGTGTTTTAGGTCTAATAGGACGACACGCGTTACGGGCGTATGTGACTTTCGAAATATACTTTTATTTTGTGTATTTGTGGAAGTATTGGAAACTCAATAAAGTGAATGTAAGTTTTCTCCGTTTTTTGTATCATTGGGTGGTGAAGTGGTGAAAAACGCGATGATATTCGCGGTGATATGCAGTAGTCGTGAAATATATTTTTCACTAGTGTTTTTCATATCACTAGGGCCGCCCGTGAAACTCCAATATGTAGCCAGTGTGGGGGGAAATATGCACATGGTCAACTACATGATTTCGTGACAATATGAAAATTTTGGGAAAATTTTGGGTTTGCGTACACTTTAGCTTTGAAAAATCCTGAGCTCAGCTGAGGAAAGCAAACATATATTCGTTAAAAATATATGCGCACTTTTTGTAGCCGAGCTCAGGAGTTTATATGCGAATTCGGGTAGAAGTGTAATACAGAAACCAATGTGAATTGTCACCAACACATTTGCATATTTTCCCATACGGCTGAATAGTATCGGATGCGCATGCGTGCAGGTTCATCTGGTTCCGCGAGATTTGAATATAACGCGAGAAAAGAGGATGGCGAAATTGAAGCGCTCTTTACGAGGGTTGAGGCAAATACATGTAGGGGGACCTGGGTTGGTAGAAGTGGGGCTTCACAACCCGTTTTACGTGAAGTGGCGTGGAAAAACGCGATATTATTCGCGGTGATATGTAGTAGTCGTGAAATATATTTTTCACTAGTGTTTTTCATTTCGTGTTGTTTCTTTGTGGTTGTGGAGAGATAGTTGGTATGCACGCACGCGCACTCGAAATTGTAATATATTAGTACTTTTAAGCTAGGTGGATATAATCGTGCGTTAATATTTCACATTTCGGGATTTCTTCCACAAATTCTAATTACATACCCCCCCCCCCCCCCATTTTCAGCATATGCCCCTCTTATGCGTTACTTCTTACTTATTAATTCTAAGCAACGAGCACTCATCTGAGGTCTGTGGGTTGATATATACGTGCGGTTTTGTGGTAGATACATGCTGCTGTGAATGCTGATCACATTGACGTGTATGAGGATGATGCAATGAGAGAGGTAGGTAGATGTGACGTTTTACCCCGGGGAAAAACGTTCGGAGTATATGACAGGGTGGGTAAAAATAACACTGATATTTGGCATAATCATGTTCTGAGAGTTTATATACAGTAGTTTATATGAGCAGTTTATGAGAATTTGGGAATGTTGATCTAATTGATGTGTATGAGGATGATGCAATGAGAGAGGTAGGGAGATGTGACGTTTTACCCCGGGGAAAAACGTTCGGAGTATATGACAGGGTGGGTAAAAATAACACTGATATTTGGCATAATCATGTTCTGAGAGTTTATATACAGTAGTTTATATGTTTATATATTGCAACCCGATGAGTGTATATGATATATTTGAGATACTGCTGAGGGTCTATGACTCGGCTCCAGATCATTAAACACAATTACCTATACTCTAGCAGTGATGCTTGATTCCGGAAGTGCAACCCGATTAGTGTCTATGACTCGGCTTCAGACTATCAAATACAATTACCGATACTCTAGCAGTGATACTCGATTCCGGAATTGTAACCCGTTTAGTGTATATGATATAGTTGAGACACTGCTGAGGGTCTATGACTCGGCTCCAGATCACCAAACACAATTACCGATACTCTACAAGTGATACTTGATTCTGAAAGTGCAACCCGACTAGTGTATATGATATAGTTGAGACACTGCTGAGCGTCTATGACTCGGCTCCAGATCACCAAACACAATTACCGATGCTCTAGTAGTGATGCTTGATTCCGGAATTGGAACCCGATGAGTGTATATGATATATTTGAGATACTGCTGAGGGTCTATGACTCGGCTCCAGATCATCAAACACAATTACCTATACTCTAGCAGTGATGCTTGATTCCGGAAGTGCAACCCGATTAGTGTATATGATATAGTTGAGACACTGCTGAGGGTCTATGACTCGGCTTCAGACTATCAAATACAATTACCGATACTCTACAAGTGATACTTGATTCCGGAATTGCAACCCGTTTAGTGTATATGATATAGTTGAGACACTGCTGAGGGTCTATGGCTCGGCTCCAGATCACCAAACACAATTACCGATACTCTACAAGTGATACTTGATTCCGGAAGTGCAACCCGATGAGTGTATATGATATAGTTGAGACACGGCTGAGGGTCTATGACTCGGCTTCAGACTATCAAATACAATTACCGATACTCTCGAGTGATACTTGATTCCGGAATTGCAACCCGATGAGTGTATATGATATAGTTGAGACACGGCTGAGGGTCTATGACTCGGCTTCAGACTATCAAATACAATTACCGATACTCTCGAGTGATACTTGATTCCGGAATTGCAACCCGATTAGTGTATATGATATAGTTGAGACACTGCTGAGGGTCTACGACTCGGTTTCAGACTATCAAATACAATTACCGATACTCTACAAGTGATACTCGATTCCGGAATTGTAACCCGTTTAGTGTATATGATATAGTTGAGACACTGCTGAGGGTCTATGGCTCGGCTCCAGATCACCAAAGACAATTACCGATACTCTAGCAGTGATACTTGATTCCGGAATTGCAACCCGATTAGTGTATATGATCTAGTTGAGACACTGCTGAGGGTCTATGACTCGGCTCCAGATCACCAAACACAATTACCGATACTCTACAAGTGATACTTGATTCCGAAAGTGCAACCCGACTAGTGTATATGATATAGTTGAGACACTGCTGAGCGTCTATGACTCGGCTCCAGATCACCAAACACAATTACCGATGCTCTAGTAGTGATGCTTGATTCCGGAATTGCAACCCGATGAGCGTATATGATATATTTGAGATACTGCTGAGGGTCTATGACTCGGCTCCAGATCATCAAACACAATTACCTATACTCTAGCAGTGATGCTTGATTCCGGAAGTGCAACCCGATTAGTGTATATGATATAGTTGAGACACTGCTGAGGGTCTATGACTCGGCTTTAGACTATCAAATACAATTACCGATACTCTACAAGTGATACTTGATTCCGGAATTGCAACCCGATGAGTGTATATGATATATTTGAGATACTGCTGAGGGTCTATGACTCGGCTCCAGATCATTAAACACAATTACCTATACTCTAGCAGTGATGCTTGATTCCGGAAGTGCAACCCGATTAGTGTATATGATATAGTTGAGACACTGCTGAGCGTCTATGACTCGGCTCCAGATCACCAAACACAATTACCGATGCTCTAGTAGTGATGCTTGATTCCGGAATTGCAACCCGTTTAGTGTATATGATATAGTTGAGACACTGCTGAGGGTCTATGGCTCGGCTCCAGATCACCAAACACAATTACCGATACTCTACAAGTGATACTTGATTCCGGAAGTGCAACCCGATGAGTGTATATGATATAGTTGAGACACTGCTGAGGGTCTATGACTCGGCTTCAGACTATCAAATACAATTACCGATACTCTACAAGTGATACTTGATTCCGGAATTGCAACCCGATTAGTGTATATGATATAGTTGAGACACTGCTGAGGATCTACGACTCGGTTTCAGACTATCAAATACAATTACCGATACTCTACAAGTGATACTTGATTCCGGAATTGCAACCCGATTAGTGTATATGATATAGTTGAGACACTGCGAAGGGTCGATGGCTCGGCTCCAGATCACCAAGCACAATTACCGATACTCTAGCAGTGATACTTGATTCCGGAATTGCAACCCGATTAGTGTATATGATATAGTTGAGACACTGCTGAGGGTCTATGGCTCGGCTCCAGATCACCAAACACAGTTACCGATACTCTAGCAGTGATACTTGATTCCGGAATTGCAACCCGACTAGTGTATATGATATAGTTGAGTCACTGCTGAGGGTCTATGGCTCGGGTCCAGATCATCAAACACAATTACCGATACTCTAGCAGTGATACTTGATTCCGGAATTGCTATCCCATTTAGTGTATATGATATAGTTGAGACACTGCTGAGGGTCTATGACTCGGCTCCAGATCACCAAACATAATTACCGGTGCTCTAGTAGTGATGCTTGATTCCGGGATTGCAACCCGATGAGTGTATATGACACAGTTGAGACACTGCTGAGGGTCTATGACTCGGCTTCAGATCACCAAACACAACTACCGATACTCTACAAGTGATACTTGATTCCGTAACTGCAACCCGATTAGTGTATATGATATAGTTGAGACACTGCTGAGGATCTATGACTCGGCTTCAGACTATCCAACACAATTACCGATACTCTACAAGTGATACTTGATTCCGGCATGGCAATTCGATTAGTGTATATGATATAGTTGAGACACTGCTAAGGATCTATGACTCGGCTTCAGACTATCAAATACAATTACCGATACTCTACAAGTGATACTTGATTCCGGAATTGCAACCCGATTAGTGTATATGATATAGTTGAGACACTGCTGAGGATCTACGACTCGGCTCCAGATCATCAAACACAATTACCGATACTCTAGCAGTGATACTTGATTCCGGAAGTGCAACCCGATTAGTGTATATGATATAGTTGAGACACTGCTGAGGGTCTATGACTCGGCTCCAGATCACCAAACACAATTACCGATACTCTACAAGTGATACTTGATTCCGGAATTGCAACCCGATTAGTGTATATGATATAGTTGAGACACTGCTGAGGGTCTATGGTTCGGCTCCAGATCATCAAACACAATTACCGATACTCTAGCAGTGATACTTGATTCCGGAACTGCAACCCGATTAGTGTATATGATATAGTTGTAAAAGCACTATAAAGCCGGATATAGCAGTTAGATAAATTGTAAAAAATGGAAATTTCCCTTTGGGACTTACTCTACACGACTAGAAATGAACACGATGTCATTCATCACATTTCAGAATACCCATGGAGGGCACCAACTACTCCATATTGAGGATAAGATCCGCAGTTGACGACTCGTCAGTGGAAGCCTCGCCCGATGCCGTTATTGGACTTTCCATTGGACTTGATCAACACAAGAGTACAACTTGAGCCAAGATGGCTACAGACCTGTTCCTGTCTCTGCCTCTGACTATCGACTTGACTACTAGCTAAGTAAAAAAGCGCTCGCCTTGGGGATCGATTACACCATCAGTGACGGCAGTTTCTTCCACCACAACGTGATTTCTTGCAATCTGCACGAAAATCGCCCGCGAGTCTAGTAGTTCGTACCAGTGGCTCTTATCGGCAATGCCGATTCGGCATCAGTGGGATGCTACGTGGATGCCTGAGGGACTTTTGGGTAACGGCGGGCCGGAGGCCCGCCTACTCCAAGGTTTTAACCACACCTTCCGCGGGTGCGGACACTCGACCCGGATTGTGCGGACACTCGGCCCCGGTAGAACATCACTCTCTGTGCGTCTGCGTGGTGCTACTTTCGCACGCAGACCCAAGTTCTGGTGTAGATCCTCTAGACATCTTACGTTGTGTGGAACACTCTCTATATGTGAATAGAATAGACCCAGCCATAGTATGTGACTTGAACTTGGGCTTATAATTCCAGCCATAAAAAGCAAGATGGCATCTTGCTCACTTACAACAGCACATTACATGACATGTTTTGTGCGAATCTTGCGCACTTACAACTTCCCAGCATTGCAACACTCTTCTAGCCTCGTTCTTTGGACACTTGTCGAGCTTGTGCTTTACATATAGAGGCAGTCGTATACTCCTAACAGTTTGGGTGTACGGGCGAAATATGTTCGTTTTTTACACAGACGCCATCTATTGGTTGTTAAGTTTATGACTTCCGCATTTTCAGTGGAGTTTCACCCACTGAAAATATGAAAACAACATAGCACTTTTTCAACTCCTGTTTTTGCAAAATTATAACTTCAATTTGCAGAGGTGGTCGAAAGATATGGTCAAAGATTCTCGTTTAGTAACTTCAATTTCGAAATTTAAATTTAGGAACTTTAATTTGTGCATTTGTTTTCCTGCGCAAGGTGATTCAGGAGTGCTTTTGTGAGTGGAAACAGAATTATACACGTTTGACATTACGGTAGATTATACGAGTCACAAGTAGAACGTTGACCATCAACAGCAGCCCTAACCAATCAAACAAATAAACATCGTGCATTCAGGAGTGCTCACGATAACAAGTGAGCAGCCTGGCACTACGAGGAATTTGTTAATGGCAGTTTTTAAGATGATGCAACTGTCAGTAACCCGTAACGGTTAACCCGAAAAATCAGCCTCATGAGCAAGGCATATTGAGTAAGAGTATCACTCAGCCGAAAAATCAACTTTAGATTTTCGAATCAGCTCAGAGATCCACATATCCTCGCGATGATCCTGATTTCTCGCTCCAGAGTAAAAAATCAGTGAATCAGGTTTTATTACTCACCATCTGATTTTTTCATCGGAGTAAATACTCTGACTCAGCTGTTGCATCAGGATCCGCTCTCTGAAGATAACTGGGGTCGTTCAAGAAACCGATTTCGGAATCGCTTACTACCCGTATAATAGGATGCTAAATACGATTCTGAATTCTAGAATTAATTCAATGAACGTGGGGTCTATCTCATTATTGTTGTGATTAGTGAGAGTATCACTCTGGAATCATTTCAGCATTCATTAGCCTTATTCCTAACTGACGCTTCAACCCTCTTCCCTACATATTGAGTTCA